TATTATTTTATCATATTATCACATTGTTGTAATAATAAAATTAGATAAATAAAATGTGAGAACAAAGGCCTTATATGTGTATCTATGAATTGCGCCTACACACGTAAATGTAATTTCCACCAAGGAATGCAATGTGGTGGAAATTACAATCTGACAGAAATTGGCAGAAAAATCTATGCTAGCTAAGAAAGGGTCTCTAGAATTTTATGCTTACAAAATACATCTATGTGTGTTAAAATAACAATTAATTTCCAAGATTGGACTCCCTAGATTAGATGAATGGAGTCTGATGCTACTGCTTAGTTGGAAAGAAAACCTGCAGCCACACGGCCCTTTCTGGAACCATTTTGACACCCCTGATTTAGGTAGTTAACATTGGATCACTTCTTCAGCACCTTGAGTTATTTACTGTCACAGGTAGGAGCTTCGGCCAGAGAGGAAGTGTTGGGGCCGCTATGATTTAAGGAGGGACGGCCCTCGCACACTGAAATTAGGACCCGCCCATCGGGCAAATGCCCGCTATCGCAGTTTACCAGTCTTTGGTTTCTTTGGTTTCTTTGCTAGCCTGTAAAACCAAATGTTCCCCTTTCTCAAAGGGTGAACTGCTTCATCTGGTCCAATCTAAATGTTTTCTAAACCAAACCAAGACTGTTTTTGGTCCACTCTATAAAGCCTAGAACTCAACGCTATTTTTGACGTTTTGAATTAAAAATCTTCCTGAATGGGAATCGAAACGTCTTCAAACTTGGAAACAAAGTCCAGTGGATGTTTTTTTTAACTTTTTTGGATTGACTATGAGCTGGATGACTGAGAATCTTCACCAGTATTTGCTGATTTTCTGCAGTTTGTCTTTAAATAACATGCTGCTGTCATTTATTTATTTTTTTTGTAAAAATGTCCTGTTTATTAAATTTTTTATCCTCCAAAGACAGAGTATTATATTGTAAAACAAGGGGCACATTATCTGACCTCTTCTACTGTAACCTTTGCTGCTGTAAACACAACAATTCCTCATTGTGGGACAATACAGGGATTTTCCATTCTATTTTATTGTTTTCTATACTATATTGATAGTTAAATCAGGAAAAAGATCTACTCCAAGGTAACTGACCTCTGACATACAGCTGGACCTCAGTCAGTGGTGTTTCTTCTTTCTTATCAATGATGCTGCAGATGTAGACGCCGCTGTCAGAAGGTTGAAGTTCTTTCAGAGTCAGGCTGAAGTCCAGAGAGTCTAGAGCATCAGGTCTCATAAATGTTCTTCCTTTGAACTGCTGATTTTGTTCCTGTAGGTCGTCTCCGTTTATTCTCCGTTCATGGACCGTAGTGGGATTGAGATCAAAGCGGCTCCATTTCACTGTATCAATCTCTTTGCTGTAGTTACAGGGAAGCAGAACAGATGGAGCTCCTTCCTGAACCTCCACATATTTAGACAGAGAATCCTGAGAGGCTGGAAGGACAAATAAAGACATGTTCAGTGTGTTAAAATGATTTCTTTTAAAGATTTGTCATCTTTTCAACACCTAGGGCCGGATTTATCAAGATCCAATTTTGCGTGCAGTAATTTGCGCTCGCAAACTGGAATTTTGCGCGAGGGGCTGGACCATGGTTTGCTGGTGATTTAACAAGAGTGATTGCGTAACTGGGGGAGAACCCCGACCCGGTCGGACAGCACTTCTGAAAAACGAGATTGGGAGATCCCAGCTCTCGCTGCAACCGTACGCTGGAATGACCCAGATGCAAAAAAGTGCAATGTTGCAAGGAGTTTNTCTGGTCCAATCTGCATGTAGATTGGACCAGAACCAAACCAAGACTGTTTTTGGTCCACTCTATAAAGCCTAGATCTCAACGCTATTTTTGATGTTTTGAATTGAAAAATCTTCCTGAATGGGAATCGAAACGTCTTCAAACTTGGAAACAAAGTCCAGTGGATTGTTGTTTTTTGTTTTTTTTGGAATGACTATGAGCTGGATGACTGAGAATCTTCACCAGTATTTGCTGATTTTCTGCAGTTTGTCTTTAAAGAACATGCTGCTGTCATTTATTTATTTTTTTGTAAAAATGTCCTGTTTATTGAATGTTTTATTCTCCAAATACAGAGTATTATATTGTAAAACAATGGGCACATTATCTGACCTCTTCTACTGTAACCTTTGCTGCTGTAAACACAACAATTTCCCATTGTGGGACAATACTGGGATTTTCCATTCTATTTTATTATTTTCTATACTATATTGATAGTTAAATCCAGAAAAAGATCTACCCCAAGGTAACTGACCTCTGACATACAGCTGGACCTCAGAAAGTATTTCTTCTTTCTTATCAATCATGCTGCAGATGTAGACGCCACTGTCAGAAGGTTGAAGTTCTGTTAGAGTCAGGTTGAAGTCCAGAGAGTCTAGAGCATCAGGTCTCATTGATGTTCTTCCTCTGAACTGCTGATTTTGTTCCTGTAGGTCGTCTTCTTTTCTCCGTTTATGGACCGTAGTGGGATTGAGATCAAAGCGGCTCCATTTCACTGTAACAACATCTAGTAATTGCTCTTTATAGTCACAGGGAAGCAGAACAGATGGAGCTCCTTCCCAAACCTCCACATTTACAGACAGAGGATCCTGAGAAGCTGAAAGGACAAATAAATAATGTTCAGTGTCTTACAATGATTTCTTTTAAAGACTTTTCATATTTTCAACACCTCGTAATCACCTACTAATCTATCTGGTTTACTGTACATTTCTCTACATTTCTATTTAGTTTTTAGCACTGAAATGAAAACAAAGTGACTGAATCCAGATAAAGGGTTATGTTTAGGATTTCTGTAAAATATAAGTAGCCTTTAACTTTACTTAACTGTTAAATAATACTGTTAATTAACTCCAGCAGATCNATAAGTAGCCTTTAACTTTACTTAACTGTTAAATAATACTGTTAATTAACTCCAGCAGATCTAATTTCCACCCCTGCATACTGGAGGTGTTGCAGTAATGTTGATTAATATCAAGATTAAAACAAACCCAGTAAGAGGCAGCAGCCAATCAGCAGCTGCTCTCACTATGGTTTCATGTTACAAAGAACCAGGTCACACCCTATAGTTAACTGGTACTTTATATAAACGGATTAAAATGTAATAAAACTCAATATCCAAATGTAAAGTTAGAATAATAGATGCAGATCTTTGCAATTATAGTTTTTTTGTGGACATTTAATAACAATATTCCTAGAAATCACTGCTGTTTAATGTTGACCTTGATGTTTTATACCTTTAAACACATTAAGAACAAGTAGTTGAGAAATAAGGAAATAATAATATTTGCACCTTACTGATAAAAAGGTTTTCTAAAGACTAAAACCAGTGAGAAAGCTGATAATGAGGGAAGCAGAAAAACAGCCAAAAGAAGAACTTTCGTTTCAGTCAGAAAAAATGATCAAATACAGATTAGAAGTTATGGACAGGTTTTCTTCTTCACTTTAAATAAATACTTTTATCTAATTGGAAAGTCGTTTTTCTTAATCTCAGGTAAACTAACAATGCCAGTATTTGTTACAGAATCCAGAGGCCTGAGTTTCACTTCCATTAGCTGTGAAGCTTCACTAAAGATGAATGTCTGTAAAATGCAGCAACCTAAAAGATACTCAGCTGTAGAGATAATTGTCATGTTACCGAATGAAAAGAAAAAAGAACATCAGCTGATTTAAACTAAGCTTGGAGAGAGGAAGATGATCTTACCACAGAAGAGGAAGAAAAACACAGCAAAGAGCTTCATCTTCTTAAATCTACAAACACTAAATTCTTATGAAATGTTTTCTTCGCGTTTCTCCAGTCAAACTGAAAGCTAACTAAAGTTTCCCTCTGCTGCTTATCTGCGGTTTCTGGTTAAACCAGTTTTTTATTGTTCCTGGTTGGCTAAGAGCTGCTGGTGGAATGTAGAACAAACCAAGTCTGAACAAGTTATGACAGATACAATGATGAGATCTACTAGTGAAAATCTATGTTCAACACAGAGTTTTAGCTCAATAGATGAAATGATTTCAAAGTAAATAAATGGATTTCCTACTTTAACTGCATGATGCTTCCAGCTCCTGGTATCCAT